CCCCAAAACCCCAAAACCCCAAAACCCCTGTTAATATTTTGACTTAATTATATGTTTTCTGATAATTAAATATATAGCTAAAATGAATACAGCAGAAAAATTAAAACTGACTCTTAGAAGAGTAGCAATTTGGTTAGTGGAAGTTTAAAATAAGTCATTTATTTTTCAAATCAATACTAGTATTTACTTTAGATTTCCTCCTTTTCCTCTTGATTAATCCATATTCTCTTAAATTAGCAGCCCACATTATACTTCCTAAGTTTTTAGAACCATCTTAATCTTTATAAATGAGATGCCTTCTATTATTAACATTGGATGAGTGGAAATTTTTATCATCATACTTGGGATATGCATGAGGACCCTCAAATCCTGAAATCATTTATTTGTTCTTAGTGTAATTCTTATGTATTATTTTTCTTATGAAATTATCATGAATTTTACTATTTTCTATTTCCTTTTAAGGTAATGGAAATTCGGGAAAGTTTATTAAATCGGTCTATGATGGTTTATTTGGAAGAGTATCGAATCTTTTTTAATGATTAAGTACAGTTTAAGGTCGATAATTTCTTAGGGAAGTTTCAAAAGCTAATTAACCTTTAGTTGGAGCAGGTCCTATTCGCTTGTGAAACAAGTGAATAACTTAATTTGGATTGCCAGTTATATCTACATCCTTGACTGAAAATTTTCTTTTCATAACTGAAGTCCCATCTGATTGCAGAGATTTGAAGTAGACTGATGGAGGCTATGCTGCTGATGTAGATCTAATTTAATTTATTACATAAAAAATTTAAACATACTTATCTCTATGCTAGGAAAGCTCTGTAGCATTATTTGACCGCAAAGTAAGCATCCAATCAAGAGATCTTTCATACATTTGTCCTCCCGCATCTTAGTGCCTTGCAAGATGAATGTAATTGTTTATATTAGCTATAAATGTATAATATAAGTATTAAGGTTTACCTGGCCATTTTTATCTAAAATTAACAGAAGGTGGTTCATAATCATTCATTTTTACACCTTCGTAATCACTTCTTATATACTGAAATACTAAATTTAGCTTTGGATTCATTTTATTCTTTTATCTATAAATGTATAAGTATACTACTAATAAATTTTTACTAAATATTTGACTGAGATCTATTGAATAGATTTGAAGTCGTTTTAGCAGTTTATATATCCCCGTATACTTTTTATTATTCTCAGTTAGAATTTAGAGTTTTATTTGATCTTAATCGCTGCATCGATTAAGTTCTTTTATCTTAAATCTCAATCATTTTTTATTTCGAAATTAATTTTTAAGTAGGAATATTATTAAGAATTAATTATTTTTATCAATTTAATTTTGCTTGACTAAAAATTCCATGAAACTTTAATCTTATTGATTTTTCAATATTTATACTTTGTTGAAAAATCCTTTGGAGAAACTACTAAACCTTTGCCTTTTCTGGCACCTCTGTAAACAGATTCGAGAATGTCAATCATATCTTGTTTGTTGTTCAAAGCCCAATTCATTTTGTTATTGTTACCTGTGCCAAAGTCGACCATGATATGTCTATTTCTGAAGAAAAACATCACAGTGCAGGGATCATATAACTCGTACATAGTATTGAAGTCAGGAACTTGAGATATATCGACTAAATAAATGACTGCGAAATTACTAACCTCCTCTGCACATTTGTAAAGTACCTCATCCATTTTCATGCAAGTAGGGTCCCAATCATGTCCAAATCTAATGCAAACAACGCGATCCTCTTCTGAGAGAATGGCTTAGTCTACTTCCCAGCCATTATCTAAGTGAGGCAACAAATAAGACATTTTAAAATTTAATTATACTTTTAAATATTAATACAGACTTAAATGACTCAAGTATTTAAACAATAGGTTCATAAGAAGTGACATAGTATTAATTGATTATTCCAAAATATACACAAATGTTTAAGGCACATTAAATCTTTCATCTGATGAGAATATTTGCAACTGCAAATAAAATGCAAGCACCTGACACGTATTGACTTAATCTATCACCTACAAGAATTATACTACTATGAAGTAATTACCAATGACTGCTGCTCTTCTTAAAACTCCTTTGAATCCAGTCTTGTAATATTTGTTGATGTAATATGGGAAAATCTCTCTGACATAGGCACAGGTGCAAATAAATAGCAGTATCATAGTCATAAAAGATTGAAAATTGAACAAGGCTGACTAGGAATAAATGATTATTAATTTGAAGAATTTACCATTTTCCAAATGTAAATTTTTAAATTATAACATAATCTCTATAAAAAGGCTTTAATTTGGCTTAGGGGTTTTGGGGTTTTGGGGTTTTGGGGTTTTGGGG